GGTTGCGATGCTGTGCAGTTAGCAGGGGTAGGGCGTTTCCTTGAGCAGCTCGCGCTATGCAATGCATGCGATGCTGTGCTGACCGCGGGCCGCTTGTTTCCTTTAGCGGTGTCCCGAATGCTTGTGGCAGTGCGTTGACGTCGTCGCACGCGGCGGATGGCGATGATGATGGCGTTGAGGAGGCTAGCGATGAGGACAAGGATGCCTGACCGTGCTCTTTAGCCCGACTGCTCAAGGACGCGGGCGGAGAGAAGCGCGAGGTCACCTGGCTTGAACTGCCTCAGGGCCGGCAATCCCAGGTGCGCACCCTCTGGAGCGTGTTCTCAGACAGCGAGCGAATCTTAGACCTGACCTAAGTGGGCGTCGCGCGGACGATACCTTCATCGCCCCTCAGTGGGAGAGGGGCGGCGACGAGCTTGATCTGTTTCAGCGCCAAGCCGTGCACCTTAAGCTGGCCTTTAGCGTGGCGGACCCGCCTGATTCCTTCTCATACTTGCGCTTCCAGAAGCACACCGCCGAGCCTGAGAGCAGAGAGTTCGGTTGGCAGAACGAACCGACAATGTTGACTGGTAGCGCGCAGACAGGCGACGTGCCGAGGCAGCAACTCTGACCAAGGGTAGGTGGCCACAGGCGGGGCATTTTTTTCGTTGTTTCAATCGCGCGTTCCTGGTTTCTGCGGCGCCGAATGTACGCAAACTGCCCACATGTTCACTGCGTTCGAGAAGCAAAAGGGGGGCTGCCTACGCAGCCAGCAACTGACGCGTCTCCAAATGGCCATCGAGGCCATCTGACTCATGGTAGGGGCGTGGCTGGTGATGGCAAGGCCGACGCTGCTACTAATGCTACTGGTCGTGATCATGCTACTGGCGAAGCTGGGGCTGCTGCTGCTGCTGCTACAGTGTGTGCGCCTATTTCTAACACTGAGAATGCGATTTTGGTGTCTGTTGAAGCTGTGGCTGCTCTTGGTGTTATTGGTGTTGCCGCTGCTCCTACACGCGCGTGCGCTGCTACTTGCGATGGTAATGCTTCTGGTGTTGCGCATGGTGCTGCGTGTGCTGTTGTCGTTGCAGTGCTACTGTGGCATTGCATATCATGATGCCCCTTGTATTGCTACAAGCACTGCTGTTGCTGCTACTGATGTTCGCACCACCGCCGCCGCCACTCTGCGAATGTTCACGACGCTGAAAAAAAAGCACGGTGGGACATTGGAAAGGATGGATGTTTGGTGGAGGAGGGGGGGCGGTGAGATGAGGGGGGGTTGCAGAAAGGGCGCGATGTCTTATCCTCGCGCCAGCGGGGCGTCGAACAGGACAAGTTGGTTCTGACCTCGTGGGTCAGGCCCCGGCTTACTGGATCTCTGGAGAGGTCTAGGCATCGTGCTTGGCGGCCTTCGCAGGGCCTCCAGTGGGCCGCCCGCGGCGCGTGGCCCCGGACGCTGCTTTCGGCTCTGCCGATGCCTTCGCCAGGAGCTCTGAGCCCTTACTGAAGCCCTTGGAAATGACGAGAACGGGCACAGACACAAGGCAACTGTCGGTGGAGTCGCCGAAAAAAGTAAAAAACGTTCCCACCGAACCGACAACTGAAGAGGCGTGCATATTAGCCGTCTCCGAATCTGGAGCTGGCTTAATGCACCAATGCGGCACGGCGAAACCTGCGGGCTCTTGGGACTCACCGCGGGCCTCCTGCAGGTCAACTTTGGGGCCCCAGACGAACTTGAACGACGAGTCGGCCTGAGTGGGGAAGTCGACGGCGACGTCCGAAGCTGGGGGCTCCGAGACCAGGGTGGCGCTCGGGGTCAGTGGCGCCAGCGCGAGCTCGCCTTGTCCGTGGACCTGGCGCGACTCCACTGCGTGAAAGCCCTTGCCGGCAACGACCGCCGCGTCGACCGAGGCAGCATGATCCTTGAAGGCCCTCGAGATGGCGACCCTGATGAGGGACTTCCCGAGCTCGGACTCCATGTCCTTGCGGCTCCGGGCCACGCAGGAGCTGACAAAGTAGCGGGGGGCCTCGTTCTTCGGAACGACCCGCGGAGACGCAACAAAAAAGGAAGACGATTAAGGAGGAATAGAAGGAGGAGGAGGAAGAGGAGAAGGGCGCGGGAGGAGAGAAGAACTAGGAGAGCAGGAAGCGCGAGGAGGGCGAAGGAGGAGGGGGAGGGGGGGGGGGGGCGAAGGATTTCTCGGGCATCCTCGGGTGCATGCGGGCCGTTTTATCAGTTTTGCTCCTGCTGCTGCTGCGTCTGCCCCTCCTCCTCCTCCTCCTCCTCCTCCTCCTCCTCCTCCTGCTCCTTGGCTGCTCCTCGCATTGTTCCTTCTTCCCCCCCCTTCTTCCCCCCCCTCCTCCTGCCCCCCCTCCTCCTCCCCTCCTGCTTTTCCACGCCCTCCACCGCCTCCTGCTCGTCCTCCTTCTCATCCTCCTCGCGTCCTCGTCATCCTCCCCCTCCCCCGCCTCGTCGCCCACCTCCTCCTCCACCTCGCCCCCCCCATCTGTCGGAATTTTGGCTCACCGTGGCCATGTGCTCATCGATGAGCTCGCCGAAGGGGGCGCAGATCGACGGCGACGGGTTGGACTTCACAAGCGGGCGCTCCTTGGTGGCGCCCAGCGCGACGATGCCTCGATCGCAATCGAACTTGGACGCCGTCCACCTGGCGCAGTCGCCCAGCTCGTTATCAAACTTCGGCTCGACCTCGACCCCGATCTTGGAACCCTTCTTGTTCAACGTGGTTTCCGAGGGAGTGGCGCCAGCATCCGCGCAGTCGACGAAGCAGTCCGCAGCGTCGTCGGCCTCCGTGGCGGCGTCGTCGCCTGCGGCCCATGGCGGATCAACCTTTTTGGATTCTGGGATCGCCTCGTAGCACTCTGAGATGAAGACATCCTGGATCTGCTGCTCGCTGGTGAACGCGCGGCGGCCCCTGGCCCCTTTCGGGAAGATGAACATCACCGCCCTGACGCCCATGTCGCCGATGAGCTTCTCAATCGCGAAGCCCGCATTGCTTGCTATGCGAGGTTTCAAATCAGAGAGCAGCCACTGACGTGCACACCTGTGGGCAGCGACGTAGCGCAGGACTGCCATCTTGACCATCGCCTTGTTGATACTCGGCAGGCCGGTCGAGGTCAGGAGCTTCGCTTGCCCATCTCTGCAATGGGAGTCAGGAGGAGCCAGGGCCGCCTTCACGCATGCGGCCATCCACTCAGGCCCCTGGGCGAACCTGACCGACGAGAGGCTCGAGGACGTCTGCGGCCCAAGGTCCTTCCGACTGTCGCCCAGCATCTTCGCGTAGGCGCAAATCTGGCTCAAGCGCACAGGAGTGGCACCGCCCGAGTAAAGCTTAACGAACTCCGCCATGGGGGCGACGTGGCCCACCAGCCGCGGCTTCGTCCTCTCGGTCTCTGTCACGATCTGTGAATACCTCGGGTCGTTGAAACGTTCGATGTTGCGACCCGCTCTGTCGTGGATCTGTAATAGCGTTTGGATTTTGCTATGAAGACGTTCTGCGCCTTGCCCCAGGTTCGACGACTCCTGGACGAAGGTGGCAAGGCCCCCCACTTTCTTATCCACCTGGCTCTTGATCACGAGCCAGCGAAGCCCGTTCTTGATCGGGTGCTCCAGGCTCGGGCACTGGGCGAAGACTTTGTGCTTCGAAATGGCACCGTCATCGTTCGTGATATCACTCGAGAAGCCCTGGACATAATGGTCAATACATCGAAGCACCATGAGAGTTTGCGACGACGACACCGCCAAGATCTTCATCGTCGGCGACACTGGAGTAGCGCACCGTTGCTAGCAGCGACCAAGTCCTCGTTGAACTTGGTGTGGGCTTGCGTCTGCTCTCCAGGTCCGAGCTCGAAAGCGCGGCAAGTTCCGGGGGCAGAATACGAGAAGCTGACCTGCGCGATGTGGGTGATGAGCTCGTGGACCTCGTCGACCTGGACGCCGTCGCCATAGCGGTTCTCCGAATGGATGGCAACGTCGTCGTTCCAGTACTGCAGGTGGTACGCAAGATTTCGGTCGACGGTCTGTTGAATCACCTCGTCGCAAGTGGCCTTCTGCTGCTTCACGTCCTCCTCGCCGCCGTTGTAGCGATCGACGATCGCTCGTTGCGTGGGCGCGTACTCCTCCAGCGCCTTCTGCAACTGAGGAGTCAGACTCATGGTGACGCGAAAGCTGTCACTCTAAGAAAGGCTTGGGCGATCTGCCTGGAAGCCTCAAAGACTTGAGCCAACATGGCTACGGGTGGGGTAGATGAGGTTTTGGGCTCTTCTGGTTTGCTCCTGGCGTGCCTGCATTTCAGAAACGAATGGGTGGATGTCGCTTCGAAGGGCAGCCGAATTGTGGTTTGATCAGAAAAATCCGAACACTCTCTTGGGCCCTGTTGGGGTTCGAGGACCTACTTAGCCAGGTTAGCTCACCCACTTAGCTAATCAGGCTAAGGCACTTAGCCTAAGTGGTTATCGACACACTTACATACCGAGGCAAACAACTTCCGAACCTCCAGGATAAGTGGTTTAACCCACTTCTGGGACCTACGCGCAACCTCAATCGTAACTCATCTAGCCACTTGGACAAGATAGCGATCCGCCCTACGTGGCCCTGCCACTTAGCAAGTACATGGGCAACATACATCTTGAGTTATGCAACGTACAAGTGCGTTGTAGCACACATACATGAAATATGTATATACTCGAAGTGCTTTGTATCTGACCTGGGCCGCCCAACACTGCTCAAAAACTCGACTGGAATTCTGATGTCGGATGTCGAGGTCCTGCAGGTGCCAATGTTTCTCCCTCCAGGAAGGTCGAGGCCCTGAGATCCGAGGTCGCGGAATAATTGGACATCGTGAGACATCACGACCAGAGCCCTAGACCCCATCCTCCTGAGCTATTTTCGGAGCCGGGTCGATCTGTGAGGGTCCCGGGGCCCGAAACCGGGCGAAAACGACCACGAAAAACTTGAGACGCCGGGACCTCTGGGAAAAGGACGTGGGCGCAATGGCGGGCACCTCCAGCCTCTGCCCGGCGGCCGCCCCGCCGGGCACGGGCACGTGCAGGAGGCCGAACTCGGTCTGCACCGTCAGCGTATCGCCCTCCTCCGGCGACACGTTCTTTTGCAATCGCGAGGGAGCCCCGTGGCACGGCGGGGAGGACGCGGAGGCGGAAGCGGGGGAGAGTGGGACGAGTGGGGGGGGCGGCACGCGCGCGAGCGCGCGGCCCTCCTCCGGCGACACGCCTGCGGGCAGCTGCACCACCAGGGGCGCGGCGTCGACCTCCTCTGAAGGGGCCCAGGGACACACAACAAATAGATGCGGCTCCCCAGATGCCCCGTATGTTGAATCTTTTCTGGATGTTCGTCTCCCCCTCCAGTTCCCATATGTTCCATGCTGTCCTGGGAACCGGCGATTCTTAGTGTCCGTGTTTTTTTCTCTCCTGAATCCTCCTCCTCCTGCGGCGGCGGGCGAGCGGCCGCGTCCGCCGCGGCCTCGGAGGCCGAGCTGCCCTCGGGCCCGGCGGGCTCCGAGGAGCCCTGGTGGCCCTCGGCCACCTGCGCGGAGGGCACCCGCACCACCGCGCAGAGATCCAACGCATTGGAAAAATCGATACGGACGGAGGTGGTTCCATGAGATCCTGGCATTGCAATTTGTTTCGCGCCAGGCGTTTTCGCCCAGTTTCGGGCCCTGCGACCCTCGCGGATCGATCGGGATCGAAAAACTGAGCAGAAAGATGGGGTCCAAGGCGCTGGTTGCAATTTGCAGGATGTTGCATATTTTCGCAACGTCGGTTCTCAAAGTTTCCCAGCTTTCGTCCTCTGGAGGCCTCCGGCAAGACCCGGGACCGTTAAAGAACAACTCAGGATGAGACGCCGGTCCCCGAGAGTGTCGAAACTTACGGGGGCCGCGCATGGACAAACATCCAAACATGTGATCTCTGGGCGCCGCCGTGTCCTGCCAGGGCCCAGCGTGGCCCCGGACGGGCCTTGTCGTGGTGGGCAGACGCCTTCTGCGGACCACCTCCCCAGAGTCTGGCACCGTCAGGTTGAGGACTCTCAGCTTCCCGGCCTCGTCCAGCCTCAGGTTCATGCCCCTTAGCGCCTCCTCGTCTGTGCTCTCCAGCGTCATGACGTCTTCTCCCTTGTTCTGCATGAAGTCCACTACGTTACGAAAGTTTAGCTCGTTCGTGAGGTCCAGGAGGCCGCCGCTGTCGGCCAGCAGGTGCCTGGCTCGGCAGCCGCGGCATGTGGCGACGACGACCCCCTGGTTCCAGGCGATCCGCCCCACCTCCACGGCGTTGCGGGTCTCGCACTTGCAGCACGTGTACGCGAGCCCAAACTTCTCGTTGAGTGGCAGCTGAATCTGCGCCGTCCGGGCAGGCTCCCCGCCCGTGGCCCCGCCGAACCCGCCGTCGCCGCCGCTCGCCTCCCTGGGCGGCGGCAGCGCGGCGGCGATGCCCTCGCCAAGGTCGCCCACGCTGCCGCTCCGCCGGCAGACACGGGCGCGGCACGGAGGGCACCCGCGATCGGTCAGCCAGCAGCGTCCCTCCCGCCCGCCTCCGACGAAGCCGTCCTGGCGCGGTGCCTCGCGAGGCTCTGAGCGCGGCCCCGCGGACAGCAGCGCGCAGGCCGCCGCGGCCAAGGCTCGCGGCCAAGCCCGCCGCGCCCAGGAAGTCCGCCCCCGTGGCCGCCATGACGGGCGGGCCCACGCGGGAGGCCGGAAGCCACGGCCGGCCAGCGCGTTCATCGCGAGAGTCCCTGGGCCAAGCTGGCTACGGGATCGGGCTGTGGATGGCCTCTGTCTCGTAGGTCGGCGCCTCACAAAAAGCGGGCGGTGGAAGCCTTCAGCACCTGCGGCATGCGCACTGTGCTTAGCGCGCATGCTCGCACCAGCAGCGCATGCCACTTGGAATCAGCATGACGGCATTCGCATAAATGAACTAGATCGCATACCATCGCAAACCTGTGATGGCATATCAGCTAGCGCGGACCCCCAACAGACGGCTACGTGCGAGTTATATATATATATATGTGTGTGTGTGTGTGTGTGTGCGCACTCTGCGTGCTGCGCTCTGTGTGTGACCTATGTGTGTGTGTGTGCGCTCGATACAACGTGATCCGTTCTGTGTGGGCAACTTATCCATCTATATTCACACGTCCATTTAAACATGCGCGTACGCAAACAATGTGCATTGACATACCTACACACATACATACATACACATAAACACATACATACAGACATACATACATACATACATGCATGCATGCACACATACATTCACACGTACATACACACACATACACGCATGCACATATACATATATAGTCTGATCAGTGATCCGAGATATGAGGTGCAAACTACTTGCTTCCAACTACGTTGCGCAAGCGATGTGGCCTGAGCCATGTGGCAAGCCATATGGTGAAATGAACTGCTGTGCGCAATGAGTTGTCCACCCCACTGCTCGCGCAATCATCCCCCCCACCCACCCGCAACTTGGTTTGCAGAACCCATGCGGCGGCGATCGCGATGAGTGCTTGGAGTTGGCTGGTGCATCTCTGCGGCCGCGCTGGCCCGCGCATGCTCGCGCGCGCAGAAGCCAACTAGTTTGGCGCGGCCGACGCGGCCACGGTGGCGCTGACCGTTGGCCCCTTCACAGCAGGCACTTCAGTGCGAGCCGGCGACTTGGGCGGGCGCGGAATCATGGCAACGTCGACAACAGTAGACACCATAATGATGGTAGCGCTGCTGGTGGCAATCATGGCAACGACGACGGCAATGCCAGTGACGGCGCCGATGCTGATCACGCCGACGACGATGACGACGCCCTCGCGTCGGTGATGAAGGTTTCGGTTTTGGAAGGAATTCGGCATGCGCGCGCGGCCGCCGCGCGAGAGTGGCCCGCATGGTATTACTTGACACGGATCGTGCCCTGCCCCGCCCCAGCACGCGCGCAAAGGCTTTCGAATGATTTCGACGTGCGGCGCGAAAAAACCGTCTGGCAGAGTTTAATCAATATGTTGAAACATCTCCGATTCTCTTAAGGATTCGCAGGAGCGAGCGCAGGCATTTTTGAAAACTGATGGTGCGACACTTTTTTGACTACATTAAAAATGTCTCCGGAACGCTCGAATTGAGAATCCTTACGACCTTAACGATTTTTTGAAGGGCTTCGGCATGCGCGCGGGACGACGTACGCGCTTGCACTTCGTCCGATGTGTTGCAGGGGATTCTTGCGACAGCAAGCGCGCAAGGGCTTCGAGTGACTTCGACATGCGCGCACGAGAGGTCTGTTTGGCAGCAAAGCATGACAATGTCGGAACAACTGTGGCTTACTGAAAAATCTGCAAGAGCGTGAGCGCATGATTTTTTGTTGTTGCAAATTCGTGTTTAGATGTTTTCGGGACACTCGATTTTGAAATATTTGCAAAACCTGTGATGTTTGTTTGAAAGATTTGGGCATGCGCGCGCGACGACGCGCGCGTGCACTTGGTTATTGGTGTTGCCAGGGATTCTTGAAACGGATGATTTGTGATAGACGAGAGTGCGCGCATAGTATTTCTTACAGAGGAGAAGGAGGGGACCGTTACCGGTTGGGCTGGGAAGATACGAATTCATATTTACGATGGACGATGGGCCAGAACCATATGTAAATGGCAATACGGAACAGTGGCCCGATAAGTCCAGGGGGTAGATCCTAATACTGTTTTAGAACAGGAAAATCGATGCGTCGCGAGCCATGTGGCGCTAGCTGCTTGCTATGCTGTGCAATCGATGTGGTGCCATCTACGTGGTGCAAGCTCTGCAGGCGCCCACGAGGCGCCCACTGGCGGCTGGCCGCCAACGGGACGCCCGCCGGGCGCCCACGGGTGGCCACGAGCGGGCACTGGGCGACTCCGGCAGACCCACTCAACGCGCGGGGCGCCCACGGGCGGCCACTCACTGGGCACCAGGTGGAACGCTGGCAGGCCCATCGCAACAGGTTCACTGTCCCGCCGCGCGCGGGAGCCAGTCAGTCTATGCAGATCGGATCTGCGGGCTCCAGCGGCTGCCCTGACACCCTGGCCGCGAACCTCCAGAGATCGGCCTGCGAGGCGGACGGAACCGAACTGCGCCGCTGCCCCGCGCCGCTCACGCGGCGGGCCTCGCGCGCCTGCGGAGGCGCGACCGCTGCCGCTGCTGCTGCCGCCCTTGGGCCAGCGTCGCGTGCTCGCTCGAGCAGCCATTCCACGGCCACCTGCAGGTCTGCGCCACCAACAGCCCTAAGAGCCTCTGCCGCGTCCACGGCTGCGAAGCCCATCGCGGCCAGGGCCTTGGCAGCGTCTGGTGCCACCTCGCCGCAGGCCTCCGTCGCAGCCCTGCGCCCAGCGGAAGCGGGCGGCATGTCTTCGTCGGAGCCGTCCGAGACGCAGACCGAGTCGAGGGGCGCTGCTGACACCGCCCCGCCTGCAGCAGCGGCCACATCGCCTTCGGCACCCTCGGCGGGCTCTTTCTTGAGCCAGCGCAAGATGGTGCCGCCGCCCTGCGAGGCATCCGCCAGCCGCCCCACCGACACGCCCACGCCGCGCAGCTCGGCCACTGGCGCACCGCACGCAGCTAACAGCCGCCGCCCAGCCTGCGCCAACGCTGCCGCATCGTGGGAGCCCGCGCCCGGCAGACGCTCGCTCCTCGACCACAGGTCGCACAGTCCGTGCCCTCCTGCCTTCGTGGGCTCGGGAGCGCCCGGCTGCCGCACGCGCAGGGTGAGGCGCACGGTCCCAGCGAGCAGCTGCGGCTCCTCCTCCTGCAACCGTCGCGCCAGCTGCCGGCAGATGTCCTCCACCATCGCCTCGGCCTCGTGGCGCTCGGACAGCCGCACGCCCCAGTTCACCTCGCTGGACATGGAGTTGGGCCTCTCGGACAAGCTGCGCCTGACGTCGAACTGCATCTCTTTCGGATCCTCCCCGCGCACCATCGCTGCGATGTGGAGACCCAGGGTCGCGCCGAAGGCGCTCTGCAGGTCCTGCGGGGGCAGCCGCCGCGCCTCGCCGCAGGTGCGCGCGCCCATGGCCTCCAGCCGCGTGGCTGTGGAGCCGCCGACGCCCGAGAGGCTCCTCGTGGGGCACGCGTCGAGCTCTGCCAGGGCGCGCTCCAGTGGCGTGTGGTAGACACCGTCGCCCGGCGGCTTGGCCCGCCGCGTGGCCCAGCGCGCCAAGACGGTGCTAGGGCCGATGCCGATGCTGGCGGGGCACCCGGTGGTGCGCAAAATCTCCGCTCTGAGGGCCGCGGCCAGGCCGACCGGCGGGTAGCGCGGCCCTTCGGCACCAGTGAGTTGGAGGAACATCTCGTCGCACGAGAGCGGCTCGATTCGCTCAGTGACGCTCAGGAGGATCCTGTAGACCTCTCGCGACGTCTGCGCAAACTGATCGAAAAGCTCCGGCGTCGTCGGGATGACGTCGAGCTCTGGGCACCTGGCCCTCGCCTCTTTGAGGAACATGTTGGCACAGATCCCGTGCCCTCGGGCGGCGTAGTTGGCACTGCAGACCTCGGACGTGTCCCCACGCCCAGACGTCACCGCGGCTGGGGCGGCGGACGGGCCGCCGAGGGCGACGGAGACGAAAAAGCAGTCCATGTCGATGTGGAGGAAGTTGGTGCAAGCCAATCGGCCGTCTGTGCAAGCTTCGCCCTGCGCAGCCAACTCTCGCAGCTCCGTGGAAAAATCTGCGGACACACCTCTGGAGCGCGCCCCCGCCTCGACCTCCAGCAGCTCCTTCATGAACTTTCTGAACCGGGCGCGCCACGAGCCGATGAAGCTGAGGCGCGACTGGCTGAAGAACTCTGCTGCCTGTGGACGCTTGCCTCCGGCTGCACGCAAGAGTGAGCCTAGGCAAGAGTGACCTTCAGTGTACGGCTTCAGGGGGGCCACGGGGAGGCCAACTCCAGGCGCGCCAGCCAGTGCTGATGGGGGACCCCATGAGGCCCTGCACCAAGGGTCACTCTGGCGAAGGTTCGCTTTTACGCGTCGCGGATGCCTGGCCCCCTGCCGCTGGCGATCGCCGCCCCGGGGGAGCCGCAGGAACCCTCGGGTGCCGCCACGCTGGCAGAAGCCCTCCGGTCGCGTGCGACGGGGCTGCCAGCGCCGGCTGCCTGCGGCAGGCCGTTTGCAGCGGCCGCCACGCCGGAAGCTGCCTGCGCGGGCAAGACTTACCACATCCAGCCCCACTGCGTCTTGGACTCTCCAGGAAGAGGCACCAACAGAAAGGCCGAGGCGCTGCGGATGTGGAGACCTGAAAGTCTAGCCTCCAGGGGCAACACGCTTATCCACATCCACTGCGCCTCTGGTTTCCGGGGAAGGGAACCCGAAACTCCAGGACGCAGTGGATATGGACACAACTCTTGCCCGCAGCCTCGTCGCGGGGTGCGAACTGCAGGAGGCGCTGGGAAAGCGGCACGGCCTCGTCGAACTGCACCTGCAGGCTGAGGATGTGCAGCGCGAACGGCTCGCTGGGCACCATCTTCCGGAACAGGCCGAAGGCCCGCTCCGCCACCTGCCGGGCCTTGAGGCCGTCGGCCTCCGACAGCAAGGCCGAAGGCGCGGCCTCGCTGCAGGCGGCGCTCGGGCCAGCGCCCATCGTCGTCGTGCCCGTGGAGCCCGCTGCGCTTCCGCTCGCGATGCGCAGACCGCCGTCGAGGTGCATCTGCCTCCGCTCGCGCCGCGCGGTGTCGTCCGAGCTGTCGCTGCGAGGCGCGTGGCGCAGGCTCACCGCGAGCGTCGGGATGCTTCGGCAGCCGTGGTGCCGCTCGTCCGCTCGGACCTTGACCAGGAGCTTCCGCGCCAGAGCCTCGAGGTGCTTCGCAACCTCCGCGTCGGATCGCAGCGGCGACGCCCAGAACGAGTCCTCCGCGGAGCAGCTCTTCGGGGGTCCAGTCGGCTTCACCTCGCTCGCGTCCACGCCGAGGCACAGGGCACGCATCCCCGCAACCGCCTTCTCGTCAAACCTGCCCAGCAACAGGCCCCGCCTGCTGCCAGCCCCGGCGGGGTCGGAAGCGACGATGAAGTCCTCGATCGTCACGATGCCCATGTCGTGGCACTTCTGCGTTGAGGAGAACCCGATGCCCGGGATCTTCTGGACCGGCAGGTGGTCGGGAAGCAGGCTCGCCAGCCGCTCCGCCGTGGGCAGGAGCACCGTCTGCTGGTCTGGCTTCCTCCAGGACGCAACCAGCTTGGCAAGCAGCTTGGACACGCTCACGCCCGCGGATGAGGTGAGGCCCACGTCTTGTCGGATAGAGGCGCGGAGCTCGGCGCACAGCTCCGATGCGACGCTGAGCCTCACGCGGCAGCGGTCCTCGTCGCCCATGGCCCGCCAGTCCGTCATCGCGAGATGCGACACGCCGGGGTCTTCGGGATCGCCCTCGTCGGTCCCCTTCGCCGGGTACAGCTGCCCTGTCTGCACCAGCCTCGGCACGCTACCTGGGTCGCGCTGGAGGGATGCCAGCCGCTCGGCGACTAACTCGGTGAGATCGACGAACACCTCGTCGAGCCCGAGCTTCTCCACCTTCTTAGACCATCTGGACGCAACATCGAACACGCGCTTGGACACCTCCTCGTAAAAGGAAAGATCCTCGCCGTTGCAAATGACGATGCCGGGGCACTTCTCCCTCACAACTCGCAGGGAGTCCCCCTTCTGGATACCGAAGGCCCGGGCGGCGTAGTTCGAGGTGATCACGAGCATCTTTTGCTGCACGCCGACGGGCTTGCCGCGGAGCTCTGGGCGGCGGAGCTCCTCGCACTGGGCGTAGAAGCAATCCATGTCGATTGCCGCCACGCAGCGCTCCTGGGGGAACAGACACTAACAACGCTAGGAGGGCCCAGAATCAAATCGAGAAGTCGGATTCGGCGATCGAAATGGATCGGATCGGCGGAAATCGACAGCCGAGTCGGGAAACATCGAATCGGCGGAAATCGGCAGGCTAAGTAACTGAGTTTCAAATGAGAGATCTGAATCCAAATCGGAACCCGAAGCCAAATCGAATCGGAATCGGAAGCCATCGAAATCAAACCGAATCGAGCCCCGAAGCATCGCTGGCTGCTTCCAGGGACCCCTTCCGGGGAGCACTATACCACCCAGAGCCCGAGGCGCATCCACCCCCCTGGAGACCGCCCCCCGCCCCCCACAGCTAGGGCGAGAACGAGGGAGGGGGCACGAGCATCGCTGAATCCAGATTTCGTAATAAAAGAGGGGGTCACAACACTCCCAGACGAGCAGTTTTAGAACCCCCCCAGACCAGCCGCGAAAGTGCCAAGAGCCCCCTGGAGCCCTCCAAGACAGCTCCAATATGATTGGAGACACCTCCCAGAATGAGACCCCCCTAGAATCAGACCACCCCCCTTGTATTGCGAAATCTGGAGTGGCCGATCCCTGTCACCACTGGCATGGCCTGAGCCCTAGTGGTCGACTTACAATGTGCAACAGAAAAATCATCCAATCAACAAATTCCCCAGGCAGCCACCCCGGACAACCCGGACAATCCATGCTGATTAATGACGACAAGACGGCCTACCCTGGACAAGAGGTTCCAGCGGTGATCCGATTAACCCTACTGGACCCGCCCCCTTGGACAAGCCTCCTGGGGATTTTCCTTTCATAGGATATAATACCCCTTTAAGTGGGTGTGTGTATATATATATATATATATATATTATTATATGCTGTTTCCTTCTGGTCTCGCGGGGCATATCCCCACCTGGGCGGGTCTGAGCCACTATGGCCCAATGGCAATGGGGATCGGTTCGAAGATGCTGAGGGCAGCAGCATCGGCATGATTTCCCCCCTGCCATGAGGGTCAACGATAGGGGGACTGGCTCAGGGGGAGGGAACATCGACCTGGAATCGGCGATACATCGCCACTAAATCGGCGATAGGCCCCCGATAGCGAAACCGCACGTTCCTGGCGGGGTGGGCTATCAGGCCCCTATCGGCGATGAGTGGGCGATTCGGGGTCGACGCATCCCCCCTGAGAAATGATCGATCTTCCACTCCCTGGCTTTCGGACCATAACTCGGGCCTCTGGCGGCCATTCCGGCCGATCGGGGCACCCCTGGAACGCCCATAGCGAGGCGGAACTGCCGGAGGGCATCCCGAGGCCAGAAGGCCGACGAGAACCAAACGCTCGAAAACCCCGAACCTCGAAAGAACTGAACGTTCTCCCTGATGCTGGGGCTCCAAGGGCAGCAGCGCTGCGGCCGAGGCCGACGAGCGGGCCTGGGGAAACCAACAGGTACCGATACCACTGCTGCCCGGGCCTCTCTTGGGGCACGTCCTGAAAAGGATTTCGAAGCGGATCCAGCAGTGGCGACGAGGGCCTCCCAGAAGGCCCCCCCAGAGGGCTAGTGTTAAGTCAACCGGCGAAGGGCAGCGGTATCGGTACCTTCTCCTCCTCTGAGGTCCGGGGCACGAGCGGCGCCGGGCTCCGCGGCCGCGGCGGCCCGCGGGGCCTCGGGGAGCATCTGCGAGGTCAGCACGCTGCGCCGCCGGCCGGCGCTCGCCTCCGCCCCCGGCGGGGGCCCCTCGCCCGCGGGGGGCAGCCGCAACCCGAGGGGTCCTCACGACCCAGACCTCCGACGCCTCGAGAAACTCAAGGCGGACGCCTGCACGCCACGAAGATAGATACACACACACACACACACACACACACACACACGCTCCGACGAATTCTGTGTGTGTAGAAAATAAACTACTGGCTCTCAGCGGTGATTTGCATACCGCTCCAACCCCCTCCCCCTCCGCGGCCCTGGGACAGTGCCTGGGGTGTCTGTGTGCATGTTTTGTGGCGGAATGTTTGCCCCTTTTTCGGCCTCCGGGGGTCCTCGCTGGGCTCAGGGACCATAAAAAAAACAACTCGGGACGAAGAAGCGGCCCTGGGGAAGAGGTCCAGACCTCCAGGGGCACCGCATTGGGAAACCCAAGACATCGGACGTCTGAGGAGCGGCGAACATCTCCGTGTCCGCGCCCTGGCGCACGGACACGCTCCGCGCGGGGCACCCGCGAGAGAACAAACAGCACCGCCCCCGCATGGTCGTGGATCAGGGGCCCGGCCCGCGCCCGGCCCGCGAGGCCGCGGCTACGAACATGCTGTTACCAGCTGCGAGCTTCTCCCTGTCCCTATGCTTGACAAGCCCGAGGCCATGACAGTCTTGGGGATGAGCCCTCAGAGACGAGGGCAGACACTTCAGATCGGTATCGAGATGCGGTGCCGCCAATCATAGGGATAAGGATGTCTTTGAGGCTACGAATGCTGGTGGCCAGCCCGAGGGGAAAGTAAGAAGGTGCGGGCCATCTCAGAAGGCTCGGAAGCCCCCCAGCCTTCTGAGACGTCTTCTGAGCCTTCGAAGGCGCAGAAAACTTCTCAGAAGGCCCGAGGGCTTCTGAGAAGCCCCGCCGCCGTCCGAGATGCCCCGCCGCCCTCGGAGAGGGCCTTCTAGGATGGCGCGACGGAATGCGCTCGACCATTCGTCCCTGGAGCCCGCGCGGAAGACCAGGAAAACTTGGAAATCTCGAGAACCGTCCATATCAATACCTCATGCTCCTTCTCCTTCGCACTTCCCCCCCCGCTCGCCGCCGATTTGTCGCCCGCGGGGTCCGCAGGCGGCGCCCTCTGCCGAGGCGCCGTGGGGCGCCCGCGCGACGCCCGGGGCCGCCTGGCGCCCCGCTGCAGCGCCTGCGCAGGCCGCCTCCTCCGGCGCGCTGCGCACCCTGCCCGGGCCGCCGGGAGCTCGGGCGCCGGCGGGCGGCGCGGCGAGCATGCCTTCGGACGGTGCAGCGCACGCTGGCGCGCGCCGAAGGCACTTTAAAAGTGCCTTCGTGAGGGGCAACGACAAGGGGGGGATAGGCATAGGGGGGGAGGGCCCATATCGGCGATCAATGGACGATTGGGGGTCGACGCATCCCCCCCTATGCCTATTCCCCCTTATCGTTGCCCCTGACTTCGGGGCGCCGCAGGGGCCCGACAAAATTATCGGCGTTTGCGTGCCAGGACATTTTCCTTTGCGGAGCTGGGCGCCCTGGCGCGGACGGCCGAACGACCCCTGCAGCGGGACGCTCTGGCAACACGGCTGCCGCCGCAAAAACGGTCGGTTTAACGCTGACACCGCGCAAAGGTGCCCCCGCAAACGCCCGACACGGGTACGGCAAAAAAAAGTACGACGCCAAACAGCACACGCTGTCCCAAACCGACAGCGGCCGCTGCTGGGCCGGCGGCCTGCTGCCTCAAATGGACAACGCCCGCGGCGGCACGGGCGACGAGTCCTGTTCAGATGGGCCACGCCCGCGGCGGCATGGACAACGAGTCCTGTCAAACTTCGTGCACAGTCTTCCCGTCACCAACTCGGTCCCACTGAATGCCTGCGCAGGGCTCCGCCGCCGCCCGCAGGCGTCCGGCCGAGCTGCAGCGCGTCCGCCGCCCGCCATCACAGGCCGCTGTTCCCCCTCGGCCCTCCGCCGCCCCCCCCTCGCCCCCCCCGCCTTCGACGCGCGCAGCGCACCTTGAGCCAACGGGGCGCCGATGCCCACTGATCCACACACACACACACACTCGCCGCCGTGAAGGCGAACGGCGCACGCGCCCTGGCTCTTGCACGACGGGTCGGCGAAGAACAAGAGGAACAGGGTGAGGGGGGGTTCCGTTGGAGCCGTCAAGAGAATAATCAATCCCGGAAAAAAAGACTCTCAAACCAGCAAGAGTAACGAGGCAGGTCGACGAGCACGAGGTCGGCTGAAGGGGACAAGGGTGAGAGCACGGCCATGCCTGTGCACCTTTCCCCAAACAGTTCTTGCACGTAGGAACTTGTTGATGGGCCTGTTTTCCACCAGCACCACCATAAGTTGGAGGGGGGCAGGAGGAGGACGAGGAGGAGGAGAACGAAGAAGAAGGCGGGGGAGGACCCCCTCGTCCTCCTCCTCCTCCTCCTCCTCCTCCTCCTCCTCCTCCTCCTCCGCCTTCTCTTCTTCGTTCTCCTCCTCCTCGTCCTCCTCCTGCCCCCCCTCCAGCTTACGGTGGTGGTGGTGGACAACAAGCCCATCACTTTTATTCCTCTTCTCAGGAACTGGGCCCGTCTGAGGGCCCAACGGCCCCGTTCTCGTCCGTTGCCGCCCCATTTTTTTGACGCCCGAAATGGGTACGGACAAAAATGGGTACAATGACCAACAACATATGTTGTCCCAAACCAGCAGCGGCCGCTGTTGGGCGGGCGGCCTTCTGTCTCAAATGGACACAGGCCGCGGCGGCGCGGACAGCGAGTCCTGTTCAAAATTAACAGGAACTGCTGCTGGGCACTGTGCCCATCCTTTCCGTACCCATCTCTTTCGCGCAGAGATTTGCCCAATAGAAAATCCGTCTGCGGGCCCGGCAGCCCCGTTCCCGTCCGTCGCCGCCCCGTTGCACCCCCCCCCGTCGGATTGCAATCGCATTTTCTTCAAATCGAGATGAATGTCATTGCAATCGCAGTGCGTTGCAGTGTACTAGCATTGCGCTGCCGCCGCATTGTTGCATGGCCACCGCAATGCATTGCCTTGCGTTGCGTTGCATTGATTCGCATTGCGTTGCATCGCGTTGCGCTGCCTTGCAGTGCTTTGCATTGATTTGCATTGGTCGGCATTGCGTTGCAATCGCATTGCGTTGCAATACTATTGCACTGGCACTGCATTGCATTGCTTTTTGAATTGCATTGTTTTGTTTTGCATTGCTTTGCACTGCGTTGCTCTGCGTTGCCCTGCTTCACGTTGCTTTGCATTGCTTTGCACTGCCTTGCGTTGCTGAGCACTGCTTGGCGCTGCTTTGCAATATTTTGCGTTGCTTTGAATTGTGGTGCATTGTTTCGCACCACGCAGATTACACCACAGACATGGCACCACCTGGATTGCACCAAATGGATTGCACCACCTAGATTGCATCGCATAGGCTGCACGACATCACTGTTGGGGGTCCACGCTGGCTAACATTCGTGTACTGTCATTTGTGCCAGAAGAACGTGTCCGCCTGGACCAAAACTTTAGCCAGCATTGACCGTTGAGGCGAGGGCAGAATTCCTGAATATATGTGAGGAAGCCTCCGGCGAAACAGCTGCCAGACCGGGCGATAGGCTGTCTCGGGCTCCCCGTCCCCTTTGTGGGACACTTCTTGGTTCTTAGCGAAAGGCTGCTCGGAGAAACAGCTCCGAGCTCTCGAGCCCCCTGCGCAAGAGAATCAAGGGGGATGGGCCAGCAGGCAGGGCCCCAGGACCTGGTGCGGGCCGAGGACGGACCACGACGAAGCAAAGCTCAAGGGCACGGTAGAGAGAAACCATTAGTGGGCACGGCCCCTCTCCCAAAAATTCAAAATTGGCACGCGCGGGGAAACTTCTACGGTCGAAATGCAACTCGTTCAGCCCACCGCCAACTTATGACCACGGGGGAGGGTATTGAAAGGTGAATGTAGCATGAGTGTTAGCGAGAATCCGCCCACCCCTTCGGCGTATGTGAAACGCCTTTCCATTTGAGTCGTCTTCGTCCTCCTCCTCCTCGTCGTCCTCGTCGTCGTCCCGCTCCACAGCCCAAGAGGCTCCCAAGCCAAGAAGGGCTCCAGAGCGTCAGCGTCGTCGTCGTCGTCGTCGCTGCCTCCGTCGTCTTCCCCCTTCAGGGTCGGCGACACCAGCCAGAAGGCCTTCCCGATCAGGGGCTCTGATGCCGGGGGTCCAGGGCCACGGGGCGAGGGGTGGCCCGAGCCAGGGAGGCCCGGCCCGAAGAACGCGGCGATGACGAGATGTAGACTGACAGGCTCTGGGGCGGCGCGCACAAGGGGGTACGTATGGGGGAGAGGGGAGGGCTTCCTAGAAGGAGGCTGCTTTTCTGAAGGCGCCGGCCTCGCATCGATGGACAAGGCCCGCGCCTGCTAAGCAGCAAGGGGTGCTTCTCAGCAGCCTGCCCCCCCCCCTGCCCCCCCCCCTTCTGCGCGTGGCCGAGCTCTGGTGCCAGGGGTCCCCAACGGCCCCAGGGCCAGGGGATGGGAGGCAGGGCCGGCGGACGGAGACAAGTGGCACGCACGCGTTGTTTCTCGGACAGGGGGAGGGGCTGGGGTCAGAGGAGACGCAGGGCGCTCGTTGGAGGTTGTCCTGGTGCTCGCTTGGGGACATCTCGGGGAGACGGGGGCAGGGGCCCTGCGGGGCGACGAACGAAGGACGACGATAGTAAAAAGGGTTCCCAGCTCTGGGGCACAGGCGCGCAAGAGTGAATGGCTCCGTCCCACGAGGGCAGCATGGTGCACTGAGAACCACGAGACCCGGAGGGCAGAGAGACACAGGGAGGGGGGAAGGGACGACGAACGAGCGACGACGGGCAAAAAACACTTCGAGCTCTAGAGCACGTCTGCGCAAGAGAATACAGAGCTCCGAGCTCTAGACAACAGCAGCGTAAGAGAAAGGGACCCAGGGCCATGTGGGGGCTGGGGCCAGCCCAAGACCACGAACGACGAAGACGAAAACCAAACGCAAATTGATCCATGGCCACCTGCGGGCGGGGGCAATGCCCAGAAGGAGCGACAGCCATGGGCAAGACGAGGCGGAAGTCGGTGGCGGGCGAGGTCACGTGACCCAGGGCGGAGGGACCGCGGGGGAGGACGACGAACGACGGGGCGGGGGGGCGCCCAGAGGGAGCGAGGGCCATGGGCAGGGCGACGCGGAGGTCGTGGGCGGGACAAGGTCCCGTGGCCCAGGAGCGGGAGAGGAGGAGAGGGGGGGCGGCGACGACCAGCGACGACGACGGCGACGAGGGGGGAGCAAGCAGGGATCCAGGGCCAGGGGGGAGCGGGCTCGGGCCTGTCCAGAAGAAGCGGGTCCTGCGGCCCAGAGCCAGGGGGCCGGAGCACTGAGGGCGACGGACGATGACGGCGAGCAGAAAGAAAAGGCTCCGAGCTCCAGGGCACGACTGCGCAAGAGAAAAACCGTAGAGACTGTCCGATGGGAATTCCCGCTGTACGAAGTCGAGGGGCACGTTTGTAGACGGTCTCGGAGATTCCTAACCTGCATCAGGGTGTCTGCGGGTTCCCAAGGCCATCGGGGGATAAGAAATGTCCTCGCCGCAACTGTTGCAAGGCTTGTTATGGTTTGATCCATCTACTGAATGAAGGGCTGCAGGGCCAGGGGTCCAGGGCCAAGGGAAGAGGGTCCAAGGGACAGGGTAGACGGGTCTCGGGGGCCGCCGGTCGGGATGAGCCAGAATGGGGGGGGGTACAGAGCGGGGAGGGGGCGGGCGGGTCATTGCTGGGGGCGGTCCCGAGGACGAACGACGACGAACGGCGACGGAGCGAAACTCAAGGGCTGCGGGAGCAGGGTCCAAGGACGCGGGGAATGGCTAGGGGGCACGGGGCCAGGGGCATGCGGGAGGGGGGGAGAGCCGAGGACCAGCAGGGGTTCAGGGCCAGGGGGCAAGGGTCCGTGGCAAGAAGGAAGAGCTACTCCGTAATGCCAGGGAAGGAGTGGGGCAAGGGCGAAGTGCGACCAACGACCACGAAACAAGAGTGAACGGCGTCTGATGCGCAAGATGATCAACAACGCGTCTGCATGACTGCGGATGGCAAATGGTGCAGCTTCTGTTGCTGCTGGTGCTGCTGGAACGTTTCCTCCTTCTCCCCTTTCTCCTCAACCTCCGCCCCACCAAAGACCAGCATACGTGCAATTCAACACACAATAAACGGACCCAGGCACAAATACTCCTGCAAATGCAGCGGGGACACCCCCTTCGAGGCTGATAAATCATGTGCCCAAGCAGGGTACATGTTCTAGAGAACATCGGCGTCCCGATAGACCCCAGGACATGGAAATGAAGAGCCTTCCACGTAACCCAAGGGGGTCGATCTTCTCGGGCGCCTGTCACAACGCGCGCTTTTGAATGCCGAGAGGGTGTGTCGGATTTCAAGGGCCCCCGCGCGCGAACCAAAGATCTGGTGCCACCACTGCTGTCCCTTCAACTACCGACTGAACTAAAATGCTCCGCACGTTTTTGACAAGGCCTGGCGTGGTCTGCTCGTCAGAGCGCACCCTCTGGAGCCGAAGGGGAACGACAACCTGGGGAAGGCAAGGCGGAAAGGAGCGGCAAACTCTCCTTGCGCGCCACTATTGGCGCTGAGCACCTTGGACGTGCCTCCACGCATGGACGCGACCGCGGCTGGGACGATGGACGGGCCGCCGAGGGCGACGGCGACCTGGCTGAACATGCTTTCGTGCTTTGCGCACACAGACAAAAACACAAGCGCGCGCACACACACAGACACACACACACACACCAACACCACCAACAACAACAATACCCTCCGACGCGCTGACGAGACCAGTCAGCAATTAAACAGAGTCAGGCTGGGCGGCAGTCAAACCAATCAATTTCCTTGTATAGCCGCATGATGACATAGGAATCTCGGAACGGCGCGCATAAGCGGAAACACGGCAGATATAACCGAACCAAGCGATACGATCTAAAGAACATAACGCGCCAACAACCGACACGACTGGCGAAACGCAACACATATACAGCCATGTACCGTTCACTCTTCCGCAACATTGTAATCAGCGCCGGTCATAGACAACGGGACGACACACTTCCAGGCACACCACGTTTTGGCATTGCGCCCACGCGCGCACCGACGCGGCAGAGTCAGTCAGCTAGGAAACAGGCGCACACGTACACGCATACGCACGCACACACAATCACACACACACGAACACTTTCACGCATATCAGTATCTATATTATAGCGTTACCGCCGAAGGGTGCGCATTTTCTCTATAACACTTCGCTGGGAAATGGGAATTTCGTTTGTTCCCGGCTGTGCTCAACATTGCGGCCCCTTAGGAAGATACGTGTCTGCGGCCAAAGTCATATGGCAAGGTGCCGCAAGTGTGAGGTGTGTGTGTGTGTATGTGTGTGTCTGTGTGTCTGTGTGCGTCTGTGTGTGAGATGTGTGTGCATGTGTGTGTGTGTGTGTGTGTCTGTGTCTGTGTCCCTGTGTGTCTGTGCGTGCTTGCGTGCGTGCGTGCGTGTGTGTGTGTGTGTGTGTGCGTGTGTGTGTGTGTGTGTGTGCGTGCGTGTGCGTGTGCGTGTGCGTTTCTGCGCGCGTGTGTGTGTGTGTGTGTGTGCGTGTGTGTGTGTGTCTGTGTGTGCGGTTGTGCGTTCGTGCGTGCGTGAGTGCGTGCGTGCGTGTGTGCGCGCGCGTGGGTGAGGGTGTGGGTGTGGGCGTGGGCGTGGGCGTGGGCGTGGGCGTGAGCGTGTGTGTCTGTGTGTGTGTGTTTGTGTGTGTGTGTGTCCGTGTGTGTGTGTGTGTGTCTGTGTGTGCGCGTGTGTGTGTGTGTGTGTGTGTGTGTGTGTGTGTGTGTGTGTGTTTGCGCGCGTGTGTGTGTGTGTGTGTCGGCGATGGTGCGTCCAAGATGTGTCCAAGAGGCCCGGATACCGCTACAAGGCGCACTTTGCCCAGGGAGCCTCCCAAAGATTCCCCCAGAGGCCCAACCATCTTCAAACCCTAAAGAGCACCACTGCTGTTGGCCTTATCGGCGGTTCGCGCCCAATGGGCTTCTGAAGCCTCCGATGACTTCAAGGTAACCCAAGGGAGCCCCAAGAGCGGCCCGACAGGGCTCCACAACGGCCCCAAGAGCGCAACAAGAGCGTCCTGTTATCGCACCGAGAAACTACTTGCCTGTCTCCACACAGGTGTGGGGTTGACAGGGGACCCACCTTCGCCCAACGTCAAAACCATTGAACGCTTCTTGGGTCTTCCAAAGGTGTTGACATCTAGGGGGCAATCTTGGGATACTGTTGGGCCAGCCTGGCTCCAAGATTGCTCAAGCTAGCTCAAGACGGCCTCCCCGATGGAGCAAAGGTGGTCCAGTATGGCTCAACATGTACTCCAAAATGCCTCTAAGATGCCCCAAGACCGCCCCAAGACGGCTCCAAGTGCCCCAAGGAGCCTTCCGAGGCCGCACCCATTTGGCGAAATTCACCCCAAAACCTTTGGGAAACTAGTGATGTCGACCTTCTGGCCTTTTCATGGTTCCGCGGTCGCGTTGACTAGCAATGGCTTCTGGGGTCGCAGGATGATTGAAATTCTCAAGAGCGCCCAAGAATACTCCAAGAGTGCCCCAACAGACGAAGACTGGGCTCCAGAAGGAAGTGCTGATACGGTACCCCTTTCTTTCATCAGTTGCCTCCAAGATGGCCTCAAGAGTGTCCGAAGTGCCCCCAAGAGTGTCCCAAGATACCCCCAAGAGGGCACTAAGAGAGCCCCAAGAAGGCCAACGTAAGCTTCCAAGAGGCTCCCATAGCCTGGGCATCGTTTCTGGATTGGCTTGTGGGGATGCGCTAAACGTCACGTATTGAGATCACTCCCTGGACAACAAATTACATCGGAAATTGCGCCAAACTCCTCGACTTAGCTAAGAACCTTATCAGAGCCTGGTTTCCAGGTCACCTTTCCGCAAGCGAAAGCGCGAAGGCTTCATCGTCCAATCGAATGCGTCGGGCCCCCTTGCGCACGCCTACGAATAAGGCGGCACCAGTGGAAGTGCAAGAAGAAACTGAGGCCCGGTCACTGCTTCCTCTCAGCTGCGACCGCCGGTTTGGGCAGCAGCACTCCTGCACCGAGCAGCGCCTCGTACTTGGGGAAGCCAAAAGGTGCCGATACCACTACTCCCCGGACCTCTCGCAGGGTGCGATCTGACCAAGATTTCGAGGCAAATCCAGCGGTGGCGACGAGGGCGTCCCAGGAGGCCCAAGAAAGGAAAAACGAGGCAAGGGTAGTGGTATCAGTACCTTTCCTCCTCTGACTTACTGCTTCCTCCCAGTTGCGACCGCCGGTTTGGGCAGCAGCACTCCTGCACCGACCAGCGCCTCGTACTGCCTCCGCGCCGCCTCACCCGCTGTGCCACAGGGGCCAGCCGCGATGGTGGCGCTCGGCAGCCCTCCCAGCGTGGCGGCGGTCGCGTTCGGAGGGCGGCCTGCAACCATCGTCTGCTGCACCTTCTCCAGCACCTCGGCTATCGAGGGCCCCGCCCTCGTCGGCGCCGCTCGCGCCGCGCCCGCGGCCTTGATGAGCATTTCAGCCATCGACGATCCTGCCCTCGTCGGCGCCGCCAGCCCTGCGGGTGCGACCTCGAGGAGCAGACGGGCGTTCGCCTCCCCCGCCGGTGGCCTGCCTGGTGGCGCGGACTTCCCTGAGAGGGGCGCACCGAACTGCGGCATGGGCGGCAGCTTTGGTATCTGTGGCAGCAGGAGTGACGATACCTTGCTGCTGGGCGGCGGGGCTTGCTTCGCCGAGGGCGCAGCGGGCGCAGCCGCAGCGAGCTGAGCGCCCGCCACGCCGAGCGCGCGCATCGCCTCGTGCACTTCCTTGGACGTGTTCTCCGCTGCCCGAGTCAGCACCTCCAACTCCGCCGCCACCTGCGCCGCTTGCGTTGCTGCAGCGGCCGCCGCGGCCAGCACCACCGCTTGCGTGGCAACCCGCCCGCGCTCGGCCAGCTCCTGCGGCGACACCATCTGCGCCACTGGCGCCACCATCTGCAACGGGCCGACACCTGTTGCAGACCCGAGAGCCTCTAGCAGGGCACCCGGCTGCGTTCCAGCGAGCGACGCCGCGAGCACTTCGTGCAACCCATGCGTGTACGCTTGCCTCAGGGCGGTGTCTTCGGACGGGTCGGCCGGCGCGGTGTCGCTCAGCCCAGGCGCGTCGCCACCAGGCATCCTGCACGTGGCCAGCGCGGCCTTAGCAGCTATGAGGGCGGGGCCCTCCAGCGTCAGCCCGCCCACTGCTGCTGCTGCTGCTGCTGCTTCTGGCGCTGGCGCCGGCGGGCTCGCCGCGGCGGGCTCCTCGGCTGGTAGCGTGGGCGGCGCCAGAGTCTCTCTGCCCCCGTCCTGAGGTGCTGGGCGCACGCCGCCAAATTGCTCGTTCTGCGCTGTTCCAGGGGAGAAGAGTACTGGTCTCAGCTGCGACGGCTCCTCGGGTTGAGCATTCTCTGCCTTCTTTGGTGGTGAGGGCGCCCTGCGGACCTGGCGCGACGCAAAAGGAGTCTTGAATGAGGCCTTTCCCTTGGCGAGATATGCGTTGGCCTCACCCTTTGACGACTTGGCGCGCCTGGTAGTTTGGGATGCGTCGGACGTGATTTGCGCAACGACCGCGTCGAGCTCCTCATCTTTGACGGCCGGATCTGGCGGTGGGTCATCTGGCACAATTGTGGTCACCACACCAGACAGGCCAGCAGGGGGCTGCATGAATGGACCCTGCAAGGCCTTTGCGCCACTGCGCGCGCCCATGTGGATGCCGCCGGCGAACTTGTCGATGTTGCGGATCCTGCCGCAAATCACAGCGGTCGCGTCCCGGGCGCCCTGCAAGGACATGCTGATGATCATGTGGACCTGATCGGGAGGCATCGATCGCAACTTCGTCGCCGCGTGCGCCTCCAGCGGGTGGCGGACCTTGGGGATCCACTGACCCGGGTCCATGCAAACCTTGGTCAGTCAGGCTCAAGATCCTGCAGGATCCTGCGCCCTAACCAGGGTCAATACGCCCCTGGCTCTGCAGCGTCATGCAGGATCCAAAGCCCTGGCTGACCCCCGTTTGCATTGAACCCCGTCTCAAGGCTCCCTGGTACCAGGAATGCCTCGAGCTCCGGGTTGGGCGGGTAGGCCTGCCGCTGGGCCGTGGCCTGCGCCGCGGGGACAGGCACCGCCAGCGCCAACGCACCCGCGCCAGATGTGGCATCTGCGCCGGCCAGCAAACGCCCCCCAGCCGAGGGCAGCGCCAGGGCCACTGCCGGGTTCTCCTCCGTCAGCACCGCCAGCTTCTGGAGGCTGGTGAGCTCCTCGGGCTCTGCCACCGTCTGGTCGAAGGCCTCGGGCGTCGCTCAATGGGGGGGCGATAAGTGGGAGGGGGGCAGAAAGGGCTGCAGCAAAGTAGGGACCCTAAAGGGCCCACAAAGCGGCCTTGTGGTCCGAAGACGGCGCCATTCTCCCCCCCCTCCATTTCTTGCCCCCCCACGAAGCGACACGACACCCAAGGGCCGAGACACGGGCCAGCCTCCGGGGCGGGGTGCGCCTGGGGCTGGAGCTGTCCCGGCTCCTGCTCCTGGCCAGAGACGCGGGCCTCGCCCTGGCGGGCGCGTCGTTGTCCCTCCTGCCGCGCTCCGGCGAACGCGAGGCCCTCGCCCTGCGGCGCTCGGCCTGCGCTGGGTTCTCTTGGCCGCGCACCGCGTGCTCGCCGTGGCCTTCTCCGCGGCGCCCGTCGCCGCGGCGACTGTCGCCGCGGTCGTCGCCGCGGCGCTCGCCATGGCGGTCGGAAGCGCGACGGTCTCCACGGCGGTCGCCGCTGCGCCCGTCCTCGCGCCGCCGGTCTCCGCGCGAGCGGCTGCCAGAGCCCCGGCGGGCCCTCGGGCCGTCCTGCCTCGGCCCGCCCGCGCAGCCGCGGTAGCCACCCCTCGAGTCGCTGCGCCGACGGGCGCCATCTCGCGGCATCGGCCCGCCAGGAAAGCGGCAGCAACCGCAGGCGCCCCTCCTGGGCTTGGCTGCCCCGGTACGCAACACGCACGACGTAGCTGGAGGCCTCCCAGATGAGGTCCGAGTAGATGGGGTCGGAGCATCGCGCCGCATCCCCGATGCATCGCCAGTGTATCGGCGACGCGGGTGATGCATCGGCGACGTCGGCGCGGATAAAATCGGGCTCCAGATCGAGCCGCATCGCGGATGCATCGGCGATGCGGCGCGATCCTCCGACCCCACCCACTCGGACCCCATCTTGGAGGCTCAGAGTAGCGTGTTGACACGGAGCTCAACACGTAGACTGAAAACGTGGGTCTGGCGCGAAACTTTCGCCAAAACGTGGACCCACACGTGCCGAGCCGACACGCAAGCGTGTCAACACAGACATTTTGAACACGGTACGTGTTGCGTCTCAAGACGGGCGTTCCAGGGCAGCTTAGCTCCTGGGCCACTGGGGGGCCTCCTCCTCGCCTCCTGGCCGCGGCGTCGCACAGGGCCGCCTCACGGGAGCAGCGCTGCCGCAGGTGTGGCAGCCGCGCCCCCAGAGCAGCGTCGTCCCATCGGCGCCCTGGGCTCGCGCCTGCTTGTTGGCAGGTTGGCCGGCGCTCGGCTGGCGCGCGCCCCCCCCCCCCCCGCAGCTCTCTGCGCTTCGCGCTGCGGGCTGTAGACGGCTGCGGTCGCTCGGGGTTGAACTCCATGCGGTGCTGAGCGCTCGCGGGTGGGGCGCCTCCTTCCCATGACCCCGCGGTCTTGCCATCGGAGGCAGAAGGCACGGGAAGTCGAGGGCATCCTTCGCCACGAGCTGGGCCAGTTCTCCCTCCTGGCTATGTCTCTACTTTGCCTGTCCTCGGGTACCCGTGCTATTCACCGGAAGACCAGTCGTGTGGTCCACGCCACCTAATGTGCTAGCCTGCGAGTTGACCCCGTAGACATGCTGCACTTGCCTACATCTCAGTCAACTGCACTGTCAAGTTTGCACCTACCGTTCGCGTGATCACTCGCATTCGCCTTATCTTCATTGGCGTCGGCATTAGCTTCGGATCCCGCTTGATCGTAGCAGTAGTGGAAAGAAGTTTCCCTGTCGGCGGCGGCTCAGCGTTTGCATCAATTCACCATTCGCAGCTTAGCTTAGCCTCACTCAACGGGGCTCAGCATGGAATATCGGAGCTCAGCTACGCTTGCTTTGAACACACAAGTGTGTCGTCACAAGTTCGTGCGCCGTTAAGCCTGTCTGGGGTCAATGGCCAGGCGGGCACCACGGGCATACCCTTCGGGCCTCCGGAGGCTGCGCATGCGGGGGGCAGCCACCACGTCTTCAGCCGAATCAGGCGACGGGGTCGGGCTGGAAGGGCTGGCCGCACGAGAGGCCGAGGGCCAGGGCCCGCACCCAGGACACGACACAGGAGCACCTCGAGGCGACAACACACGCAGCCCGGGGCCCGAGTGCGTCACGGACAGCGAGCGCAGCGGGGGAGCACACGCGTCCTCGGCTCGCAGGCGGCAGGGCCGAGGCACAGCACACAACGTAAGAGCCCTCTGATGGGCCCTCCTGCCCCAGGAGGAAAAGGACGAGGACGCAGGTGGAGGCGGCGGTCCTGGCGCGCGATGGCTGGCGAGCAGAAGCACCAGCGTGCGGGTCCTCACCAGCAGGGGCGCGTTCACTCCGCGGTGTGCGACCCAACGCGCTCCTGTTGGGGGTTCGGCACACGGGAGACCGCCTGCTGCCTGCCAGTGTCACATCGGCCGCGCACGTATGAATCAGCCCGCCGCCGACGACGCGACTATGAAGCACCGCTTCCTCCACTGGGGTTCATCCCCGCTACCAAGCTATCCATCGGTCCGCCAATCTGTCGACCTCACGATCAATGGATCTATCAATGTGATCATCGCCTACCTATATATCGAAGCCACGGTCAACGTACCGATCCCACTATCAATACGTCGATCGGTCGCATTATCCATCGAATTCAAATTTGATATACCGATCGCACGATCAACCACTAACTCGGTCTCACGATGTGTATGTATGTCTTTCTACACACATCTGTAGTTCACCTATATTTACATATCGGTATCACTATCGCTCCGTCGCGCTACATCAATATCGATCCCACAACCTCTCGACCTGTCGATCTCAAGATTTTTCGGGAGAATCATTGCGGCAACAATCGGGACAACCACCAATCGGAACAACCATCAGGACAACCACATCCATCGGGAAAACAATCGTGACAAACATCGGCACAACCACCTCCATCGGGACGGCCACTGTGAAAACCATCGGCGAGACGACCATTGGCGAGACGACCATCGGCGATACGACCATCGCGACAACCATCGGGACAACCTGGGTCCAAGGGGGCCACGGCCATTGGGATAACCATCGGAACAACTTCAGTTCCCCAAAACAGCTGAAAAGCCCGGGGTGCTCTTGTGGTCGGACCTACATCCTCAACCAACATGAAATGGTCCAGGCCGTTTCGCCTGAGACAGGCTCACACTTCTCGTTTCCCAAATTAGTCAGGAATGGGCCCCGATTGCTCGTGTCGCCTGAGACATCCTCGCAACTCTGGGCTCCGAGGTGCCGCGCGCGAGTTGGTCCAGTCCGAATCGCCTGAGACATTCTCGCAACTCTTGGCTCCGACATGCCGCGCGAGAGGTGTCCGGCGCGTTTCGCCCGAGACATCCTCGCAACTCTGGGTTCCGAGATGCCGCGCGCGAGGAGGTCCAGCCCGTTTCGCGAGAGGCGGTCCAGCCCGTTTCGCCTGACATGAGACCCCGAGACATCCTCGCAACTCTGGGCGCCGAGAAAATGAAGCGGGAGAGGGGAGGGGGGGTCAGACCCAAACGACAGGTGTGATTCCACTTCTGTTATCGATTTGTCCTCCGGGAGGTGCCTGGGCGCCGCCCGAAACATCCTTGCAACTCTGGGCCTCGAGATGCCGCTCGCGAGGTGGTCCAACCCGGTTCTCATGAGAGATCCTCGCAACTCTGAGCTCCGAGATGCTGGTCCAGGCCGTTTCGCCTGAGACATCCTCGCAACTCTAAGCTCTGACATGCCGCGCGAGAAGTGGTCCAGCCCTAGTCGCATGAAACATCCTTACAGCTCGGGGCTCCGAGGTGCCGCGCGCGAGGTGGTCTCGCCTGGGACATCCTCGTAACTCTGAGCTCCCAGATGCCGCAAGCGAGGTGGTCCAGCCCGTTTCACCTGAGACATATTTGAAACTCTGGGCTCCGAGATGCCGCGCGCAAGGCGTTCTGGCGCGTGTCGCTAGAAACATCCTCACAACTCCAGGCCCGCTTGTCCTGAGACATCCTCGCAACTCTAAGCCCCGAGATGGCACGCGCGAGGTGGTCCAGGCCGAGTCGCCTGAGACATCCTCGCAACTCTAGGCTCCGAGATGCCGCGCGCAAGGTGGCCTGGCGCGTTTCGCATGAGACATCTTCACAACTCTGGGCTCCGAAATGCCGCGCGCGAGGCGGTCTTGCGCATTTCGCTTGAGACAGCCTTATATCTAAACTCAGAGTAGATGGACAAAACTTGCTTCAGCCCGTTTCGCCTGAGATATCCTCGGAATTACCTCTGGGTTCCGAGATGCCGCGAGGAAGGTTGTCCATGCCCGTTTCGCCAAAGGCATCCTCGAAGAGAGAGGAGGGAGGAGGGAGCGGTCAGACCAAAGCAACCCACTTGATTGATTTTCTGTTGTCGGATTGTGCTGTGTAGGGGTCTGGGCGCCTTGCCGCTCGCGAGGTAGTCCAGCACGTTTCGCCTGAGGCATCCTCGCATCTCTGGGTTCCGTGATGCAGCGCGCGGAGTGTGATGAGGACGTGAAACATAAGGAGAAAGAGGAGGAGGAGGAAGAGCACCAGGAGGATGCAGATGGTTCGCATAAGGAAGGGGACGAGGGGCAGTGAGATGAGGGGGCACATCAGAAGGAGAGGGAGGAGGTGCACTGCCCATAGAAGGAACGGTCAAGGGGGGGAGACAGGAGAAATATGGTGGGGCCACCCGCCGAAGTCTCCCTCTTCGGCTGCCACGACAGAAACCCGCGCGAGACTGGACGCGCCTCCGCTCTGGCCTGGGCAGCCCTGGCCCCCAGGGTCTTGGCCAGCACGCGGCCCTCGAACCCGAAGGCTCACAAACAAGCCAGGACATCGAGGTGGGGGGCGGCTGCTCGCCGCGGAAAAGGGGGGCTGACTTGGCGCCGTAGCAGGTGCATTCTCGATTCCGGACTGCAGGGCCCATGTCACACGGACGGTTTCAGACGGGGTCCGAAGCTCATCGAGAGGCCGCGCTGTCCGACGTGTGCCGCAAAGTGACAGCACCTCGAGAAGAAGAGGACAGCCTCCGAGCCTGAGACCCCGTCCTCGAACACGGGGTGGCCTGTAACCCTTTCGGGACTGAAACCTCCCAAGCCAAAACTTCATCAAGAGAACCCAGAACCGAATCGATAAGTCGGATGGGAGATCGAAATGAATCGGGTTGGCGCAGATCGGCAGGCAAATCGGCCTCCATTTCGAGAAACTGGAGCCCGAATCGCAATCCGAAGACGAATCGAATCGGAATCGGCAGCCATCGGCATCGAATCGAGCCGACTCGGAGGTATCGAAACGAGCCCTGCCTTCATCCCCAAAGATCTGCGCATCCTCGTCCTCAGGCTCCCCCGCCCATTCGGCGCCCGACGCCGCCGCATCAGCAGCAGCAGGAGGCGAGTCAGCAGGGGGATGAAGAGGCGAGGGAGGAAGAGGAGGAGGAGGAGGAGGAGGAGGAGGAGGAGGAGGAGGAGGAGGAGGAGGAGGGGGAGGAAGAGGAGGAGGAGGAGGAGGAGGAGGAGGAGGAGGAGGAGGAGGAGGAGGAGGACAAGCTAGGTGCGCTCGCGTCATATCTGACGTCCTACCCCTCCCTCCCATCCCTTACCATGGCGCTGATTTTCTCTATCCGCGGACGCGTGTCGTAGCGGACCTGTGGCTCCGCGCGCGCGTGCGTAGTGGGTGGTGGTGCACGTGCGTGCGTGCGTGCGTGTGTGCGTGGTTGTCGTGGTGGTGGTGGTGGTGGTGGTGGTGGTGGGTGGTGTGGTGGTGGTGGGTGGTGGTGGTGGTGGGTGGTGGTGGTGGTGCTGGTGGTGGTGGTGGTGGTGGTGGTGGTGTTGGTACTGGTGCTGGTGCTGGTGCTGGTTGTGGTGGTGGTGGTGGTGGTGGTGGTGGTGGTGGTGGTGGTGGTGGTGGTGGTGGTGGTGGTGGTGGTGGTGGGGGTGGGGGTGGCGGTGCGGCGCGGTGGTGGCGGGCGGATGGACGCGCGAGAAAAAGGCCCGCGCTGGGGCGAGAACGCCATCCTGAACGACGGAAGCCAAACACCGATCCGAAAATGAGGCCCACGCTGCAGCGGGAGCACGATTCGGAACGATTCGGGAGCAGAAGTGAGGCCGGCGCCTCAACGAGAGCAACATTTTGGGAAAAAATGACGCCGGCGCCTCAGCGAGAGTCGTTTCCTGGGATTTCCCGGGCGTCCCGTGTGTAAAAAACAGTACGCGGAGGGTGCGCGGCCATCACCCGGACGCCATCAGGGGAAGAGGGAGAGTATTTTCATATTGAGTAGTTGTGGAGGGGGGGGAGGGGGGGGGGGAGGGGGAAGAGGGGGAGGTGGTGGTGGTGGTGGAGCCGCTGGGGGCCATGGTCGAATCGCTTGCATCGCATCGGGCCCCTAGGAAAGAAATGGAAGCAAACAAGGATGGGACCTGTTCCGATCCCTCCCCTGCCGCCTACGGCGAACGCCGCAGCCTGTCGCTGCAAGCGCTGCCGCTTCGGCAGAGGCATCCCGTCGCGGTGGTGCA